CCCATGAGACTTGGCTCAAACTCTACCTTTCGCAGCAAGCCTATCCAAGTCCCCCAGTATTAGTGCCTTCCCCTCTAAAGTTACCCATTTACTTTCTATTTATCTTGTATTTTCTTATTTATGTACATGTTGATTCCCCATTCAGATGTAAGTTGATTGAGGACAGGGGCTGTTTTTGATTTGAGGAGGGGGTACCCCAGCACTTAGTGTAGAAATAGGCAAAGAGTAAGCTCTTGAGGCACAAAGGTTCAGTGACTTGCAGAATCACACAGGCATGATTCGAATCCAAATCTTAACTTCAAATGCTTGCTTGAGTGACATTCATGTATGTGTGTATGTGTGTGTAATATAAACACACACACACACACAGAGTTTGCTCACATCAAGGGGCTGAAAGGATTACTCACTTATAAACCAAACTATTTAAGTGGAATCCAAATGAGTAGGTTTGTTTTTTCATCCTAGAAGAGTAATTTGTGCACGTGCATAGCGATAGTAATCAGAATGCATTAGTGGGACCTGTGGATCCTCCAACATCGTGCAACCATTTACTGTTTTGGGAAGACTGAGACAAGAGGAGCATTGTCATAAATAAAATTATTTGATCATAATCAGTAAATGATAAATCAAATTAGGAGCCTTTCTATAGTGTGATCCTTTATACAGAGTATTTATTGGGAATGAAGAAACTGAGTTCTAGGAGGACAACAGAATTGCCACTAAATCCTCATGGGTCATGTGAAATTTCCCAATGTATCTTTTGGGTCTCTAAGGCACTGGATTTAAACGATGTGAAAGTTTTTAGGTCATCTCTGAGCTGTTTAGTGCAGCACTGACGTTCATAATATAATAACACTGGTGATTCCCCAATCAACCTATCCTGCCCCAACCTCTCTGCTGACCTCTAGTCTCACATTTCCAACTGTCTTTCAGACATCTTGAATTGGATGTCCAGCAGACAACTTAAATTCAACATGTCTAAAACAAAACTCTTTATCTTTCCCCATAAACCTTCTCTCTTCCATAATTTCCTGTTATAGCAGAGGAGACCACCATCCTTTCAGGATTGCAAACTAGGTATCATCCTTGATTCCTCACTATCTCTCACCTCCTGTATCTAATCTGTTGCCAAGACTTGTTGATCTCACTTTTGCAACATCTCTCAATAAGCCCCCTTTTCTCCTCTGATATTGCCACCACTCAGGTGCAAGCCCTGATCTCCTCATGTTTAGACTACTGTAATACCCTGCTGGTGGGTCTACCTGCCTCAAGTCTCTCCCCACACCAATCTATCCTTCATTCAGCCACCAAAGTGATTTTCCTAAAGCGCAAGTCCAACCATATCACACCTCTAATCAATAAACTGCAGTGACTCCCTATCACCCCCAGGATCAAATACAAAATCCTACATTTGATGTACAAAGTCCTTCTTAACCTACACTCCTCTTACCTTTCCAGTCTTCTTATATCTTACTCCCTGCCACATACTCTTTGATACAGTGACACAGAGCTCTTTGCTGTTCCATGAAGAAGACACTTGACCTCTCCACAGTTTCTCTGGGTATCCTCCATTCCAGCAATGATCTTCTTCTCTGTCTTCAGGCTTCCTTTAAGTGCCAACTAAAATCTTATTTTCTACAGAAAGCTTTTTCCAGTCTGTCTAAATTCTAGTGCCTTCCCTCTTTTAATTTTTCCCTTTTTATCTTGTATATAGCTCATTTGTATATGTGTTTGTTTCTTGTCTTCTCCATTGGATTGTGAGCTCCTTGAGGGCAGGAACTTCGCCTCTTTTTGTATCCTCAGCACTCAGCACAATGCCTGGCATATAGCAAGTGCTTAATAAATGCTTATTGACTAATATTTATATTTTTTCTGGGATTAATCAATAATTTATTTTTCCCATTTTTTTTTAGGCAATTGAGGTTAAGTGACTTGCCCAGGGTCATACAGCTAGTAAGTGTCAAGTATTTGGTCTGAGGCCGGATTTGAACTCAAGTCCTCCTGACTTCAGGGCCGGTGTTCTATCCACTGTGCCACCTAGCTGCCCTCTTCTTCTTCTTCTTTTTTTTTACTTTAATTTTCTTTGTAGGTTTAATTTGATCAGAAGTTAATGAGAGTAGGTGGCCAGACAGGTGTTTTGTCCCTTCAAGTGGTTTCACTGATGGATACCTTAAGGACTATAATACCATATACTATGGCTGGAAAAGACTGAATGTAGTTTTCAAAAATGTCTAATGGGCTGCCAGAGAATGATGTATATACAAAGAAAATCTGGCTTAATAGCTGTAATCCACTTGGAGATTGTCAGATAAAAGGTAGTTCATACATTTACTGTTATGACTGCTATTTTCACAACCAGAATCTAACATCCTGGACTTGCTTCCCTATTTTGTTCTGTTTTTACCCTTGGCCATGACTTCTAGCTTTTCCTATACCTTGTCTTCCTAAAACGACTTTTTAAAGTTTACATTCATTCTCCCCTCCATGATAAGACAAAGACTGGGTTGACTTACAAAAAAAAGAAAGGAGAGGGATGGGAGGTGTTATTTAAAACAAACAAAACTTGATGATCATGAGACTAAGAATGAAGCAGCTGAACAGTGACAAAGAGTATTCATTCATGCTGTGGAATCATTTGAATATTAGATCTAGAAGGGACCACTGAGATGGGCTAGTCCTACTTCTTCCTTTTACAAATTTAGAAATTAAGTTAGCCTGGATGATACACAAGAGGCATAATTTCTACATTATTTAAAACGTTAATAGTATTCCTTTGTCATGCACACATACCTATGTCCAAGTCGGCTCTCTTTGATCAAGTAGCAATCACAATCAACCAAAAGTTACAAATGAGATTGTAAAATCACCTGTTGTCAGTATCTGCCAAACTATTTCAGAGGTTGAGATAATTTCTCCTGCATAGAATATGATGATTAAGAATACACAGGAATTAACTTTCTGTTTTAAAAGCCCCAAAGCATCTCTTAGTCCTTTTCCCTTTCATGTTCCTGTGTTATTCTTCTCAGTCACAAGTTTCTGCCTTCAGAAATATTGCATTTGGTTTCTCCTTTGCATCCAAGTCACAAAAGGCAATGTGTCCACTGCTTCACTTAAAAAACCCCTAAAAAACCCAAGTAAAATGGAGCTAAGATACCTTATTAAGATAATGAGGCAGCTAGATGTCACAGTGGATAACGCTGGACCTAAAGTCAGGAAGCCCTGAGCTTGTCACTTACTAGCTGTGTGATTGTGGGCAAGTCACTTAACTTCTAGCTTCTAGCTGCAGTTTCCTCATCTATAAAAAAAAAAAAAATGGGAATAACAGCATCAACACCACAGGGTTGTTGTGAAGAAAAATTGAGAAAATATTTATAAAGTTCTCTGTTAACCTTAAAATGTTATATAAATGCTAGCTATTAATGTAATTGATCAAAATGATCTTAATGGGCAGATATAAAGTCTTTGAAGAAATGGTGGCAAGAATATCAGAAAATAAAGAGGTATCCCTTAAGAAATGGTGGCCAACCTCTGAGTTCTCCTTCATTCATATCAAGTATCAGAATTGATGGACAACTTTGTGGCCAGACAGGCTACATCTTGTTCTTCAGGTATCACCCTAAAGGCATGTGGGCACGGAAATCATACCCCCATGATTGATGCTACAGACAGCCAGCAGTTAGAGATGATAGAACTTGGCTACATTTCAGAATATTACACTTAATTTCTACTCCTATATGGGATCTGACTGTCCTATTATACCCCATTCTAGAAATTTACACATAACAATATCTCTCAGATGACTTTGTGGCCAGAAGGATTTCCTAGTAAAAGAAACAAATGTGATAAACTTTAGATGAGGGGCTACTTTTTTTTTAAGTTTTGATTGGTCAAATTTCAGCAGAAAGGCGCAGGAAATTGATGGAGTCCCTTCAGACTCCAGAATAACACTTGTTCCTTGTGATTAGGGATGGTTGTTGCAGCGACCACTAAGCCTTCTGCATGTCTCCTTTGTTAATTTTCAGGAAATTGATCACAAGATGGGGAATGCTACATTACAAGTCCATGGTGATGAGAACCTGGAAGAATGTAAGATCCTAGAGGAAAGGCACTGTTTTGTTTTTATTTACCTAGCATGATTCTTTGTACATAGTAGGGGTTTAAAATGTGATTACTGAATTTAATTCAATCAGAGAACTGACATGGAAAAAATAGTAGTCAGAGTATGAAAAGAAGATTAAAGTGATGGTGAATTTTTTCTACATTAGCACTATTTTTTGACTTCTTATATTCCTGTGGATAATATAAGCTTCTACTAAAATCTAATTTATGATGCCTCATCATAGAGTGGAGGTGGTCCTGGATTCCTGAAGGCTTTGCTAGCACCATCTCTGGTAGAGTCCATTAAGCTGGAAAAATTTTGAATGTCAGGCTGGCAACAGCCTGGATGCCTACTGGTCAAGGAACAGCTTAGCTGAATTCATAGTTGCTCATCCCAAGACTGGCTACCAGATGATGAATGCTTTTGGTCACAGGAACTTACAAAGGCTGCTTAGAGGGAGAGCAGTTTGTGATCTGTATTGGGTACAAGGAATACTCACACCAATAAATCTTGGATCTTTGGATGGGTGGAAATACATATTGCAATAGTTCTCTCAGGAAGAGAAGGCCACAATGTGGTATTCATCCTAGAAGTATTTCTTGGACGGAAAAAGGAATTTCTGAAAAATGAAGCTCAAAGTCCAGAAATAGCAAAAGGACATAAGCAGATTTTAAACTCCTCAAACTACAGCGACATTCTGAGAGAGCACATCTTAGATTCCTCCTGGTATGCTGTTTCTCAGGCAAATTCTTCCAGTTTTTCCTGATTTGGATTCCCAATTCTGTTCTATCTTGTATGGAGTGTCAAATGGTCAAACCAATAACCCGACTAGATCAATAATTGCTAATATATTTTCAATAGCCACTCAGTGAGATTAAGACTTTTTTTTTCTTTGTCTTACCTATGCAGTAGGGACAACACTGGCCTTTTCTCAAAACAGGTCTTTCACAGGAGACTGAAGGGCAAGACTCAGAGTAACAGCTAATCATGCTATCCATACATATGCAGCTGGTACAAACATCGGGTTTCCACGACTCAGCTGCCAGGAATATGTCCCCTTCATCATTTTTGCAGTAACTAGGCATGCTCTCATTATTTGATGAGGAAGGCTGAAGAGGTTCATCTGGAAAAATGGACACACAAGTCAGCAGGGAAAATAAGAGGATGTAGGCCACTAACGGTGTGACATAATGAGTCTGCTTCACTCTGCCTGATAAAGATTGTGGCCAACATTTAGGCCTCTGAGTATACATGTTAAAAAGCATATTCAAACAATAAAACAGAAAGGCTGACTTATCTGTATTTTCAGGTCATCCGATGGCCAAGAAGAAAATGCCTCTAACCTCCCACGTTTAGATGTGCACATAACTAGGTGATAGAAAATCTAAATTACTGGGGAGGGGGCCAAATAGAGAGAGGTGTATATAGTCTATGGAAGCTTGCATTTCATATTACTCTAGAAATGAAGAAGAAACTACTGGAGAACAAATATGCAACGTTTCTCCTGGCCTAATTTCTTTAATATCTATGATGATTATAATTATCTAACTCCTAGTCAAATGCCTCATTGAGGCATGGCTATGACCCCTGGTTTCTCCAGGGAAGTGGAAGTTTTTTCAGGTCCCAGCAAGGCAAGCTCAGCATTAATTCACATATTTGCTGTTTAAGGACCAACCTTGTCATGGCAGGAAGGGCTCATCCCAGAGAGAATGGCCACCAGGGGATGAGTCTTTTTCAGCCAAAGCAGCCCATGAAGGCTGTCTCCTAAGGCACAGAAAGCTTATGGTAGGTGAGAGCAGAAGAAGTTGCAACACCAAAGAGACTCCAGATCCTGTCAGTCATAAGGTACAGTGACAGGACATCGTACTCTTGCAGAACACGTCACCCTTAAGGGTTTTCACAGAGACTATGTTGCTTACTGTTGACCGAAGATAACAGGACATTTCCTCTTAAAGTCTCAAGTAGAAATCTGACCATGCTGAAGTACTGAAAGGTCCAATTTAAATAAGCATTCTGGATCACAGGATCATAGATTTGTACAAACATAAATTTCTAGCTGCAAAGGTCCTCTAAGTTCACCTTGTCAGGAGAAGGATTTGGATCGGTACAATAAATACCAATGGAAAGGAGTACTTCAATTGCCACCACTACCTAAAAATCTTATTTTGATGAATAAATCCAGGGTCAAGATTATTCCTTGTAAGAACCACTAAGCAACAAAAAATACATTTTCTCATTGGAAACAATGGATATATATTCTAAAGAGATAGACTATTCTTTTAGCATAGTTCTTCTGAAGGATCATATTCATAGCTTTGATTCTAATTTAGTCAAGAACTGAAACGCTTAGGTTAGATGAAAGGAGGTGAAGTGTTACCACAACAGCACAACCTTAAGTCACATTCTCTCTGCAAATACTTTCATGCTACTGGACGGTTGTTACTTGTCCAGAGGAATTGTGTTCTTTTGGGTCCTCCCTGTGGGAAGAGTGGGGCAAGAAAAGAACTATTAGAATATATTTCTGCCCATCTCTGTTAGGTTCAAATGGGAAGGAGATTAAGTCTTAGCCACTAATTCTGGAGGAAGAAGATAGGGCCAAGAGAATGGAAATACATCATGGAGTCCACCACTATGTCAATTGTCACCTTTCTGCTCAGACATTAGAGATCTGAGTGAAAAAGGTAGAAGATCTGAACATCTCTCTATAGCCTTTCTCAGTGACTTTTCTTTGGGGAGGGGTGGAAAGGAAGAGTAGAAACTGGCCAGTAGCGTCAAGAGGATCATTTCTTGTTCTGAGGACTGAACACTGCTCTATTTTAAGAGTCAGCACTTTTTTTTCCCCATTGGTGAGAAGTGACTGATGACGCTTGCCAATCCTGGACCCTGAAACTCACCTCTATATTTTTGTGTACTGAGAAGTTAAAACAAAACAAAACAAAACAAAAATCAAAAACTTGGTAAGGAGTTATACATCACCCTAAGCTTATGTCTCAGTACTCAATAGAAGCAATAAGATGGAAACTGAGGATATAAAAGAAGAAGGAAAAGAGCCAGGATGACTATTCCCAAGGAACATGAAGCTCTCAAAGGCAGAGAAAAGATCAGAAGTGAAAATCCCACTCTGTTGTTTGTGATGGAACACAACATGGAGGGGGCCAAGGAAAAGAATGAGGGGAAAGGTTTTTATTTCAAGAAGCACATGGTCTCTATGGAACATTAGCTGCAAATTTTATTTGGTCATCTCATCCACTAGCACACCTCTTTCTCTATTCATTACTTCCACAAAGACTCTCATTATTCTTTCTGTTTATTCTTTATTAGTTGATTTACATCTTACACCTCTCTACTCTCTAATTTTATTTCATTATTTACATTCTACAGCCCATTTTCTCCCAACACCTAAAAACACTGAATAGAGAAAAAATAAAAAACTAGGAAAAAAGACAAAAGCCATTCTAAACTTACTGAAATTTAGGAAAAAACGAACCTGAACAAACCCGTTCACTTGCTACTTGTATGAATTCTTTTGAATTTAAACACATTAATTTTTAACCTTTCCTCGGGAACAAATGGAGCACTTGATATGAACTTTCACATTCTGTCTTGAATTATAATTATTTATATCTTACTTTCATTATTATCGTTATCATCATCATTATTATCTAATAGACTTTGGCTGCTGTGGGTAATCCTGACAATAAAAAAAAATGTTATTTAGACTATCCATCAACAGTTAGCTTTCAACTGTGAACTAATACGCTAAGATGAACAAACTTCTAAGTACTAACTCATGGATATATTAAAAAGAAATTCTATGAGAGGTAAGAGTAAAAATAATTTGTTCTGCTACTTAATAAACTTAATAACAGAATAGCGAAGCTTATGAATATTGCTCTTCCATGGATAAATGGTCAAACTACCTATGTTTAGAAGCTTAGTGTTAAGGTCCAACTGTGGTTAGGTTGATCTGACAAAAAAGTCAAATCAATAATATAATATTCCCTATATTTATATCAAATTTTCTAAACTTTATCTAGAAATAACATCATAATGCTCTTAAATGATAATCAAAAAGCGTAGACATAAAGAAATTCCTTAGTTTTCATATTAGTAGAGTCATAAACCTAATATTTCTTTCAAAGGATTCAAAGTACCATTTTTTGTACATTCTAAGGGTGGCATAGCTATTCATCCAAAATAGAAACATAAAAGAGAATTTATATGAGTGAGACCATTCAAGATAAGCTAATGGCCTTATTCTGGAAATTAAGTATTTTGTGGGTCTGACATGTAGTAAGCAAGATAAATGGTAGTCATAAACATGATGATTTCCTCAATGTTATATTAATTCCAAGCAATAAATGGGAACCATAGAAAAGAATGCTTTGAGGAGGTATGGTAATGGGCATCTTAATGCTCTCTAGCATTTGTATTTGAGCTTGGTGCAAGTCCTTATTTAAGTCATTTTTCTTTTTAGCATTGATTTGACAACATCTCTAACCCTGCTCTGTTCTCAAATGGTTAACTGCCTAGTCTACCAAGTTCATCAGCAAGATGAAGCACACTCTGGTTACCTGTACACTGAGGACAGCAGGAATCCTGGGTGCGGGCAGGAGTTTGGCAAAGAAGGGGAGGACAAACTTCTGTTTCACACAACACACGCCCACTATGACATGTACACTGGGTGCAAGAGTCGATATTCCATGTTTCTCCATCCACAAAGTATTCTCCTCCAGGAGCATGGCAAATGGATGGGCTGCTTAGCTCTGGTTTCTGAACCACAAATTCATCTGAGAAATCAAACATAAGATGAAAACAAAAGAGGTTATGAGAGAGGAAGTATTGCCATTTACAGGTTGTTCTCAGAAGCTCTGGAAGGTCCTGATGTTTTTCAGCTCATGAGTCACTAGTCTAGAGAAATGGTTGATAATTCTTTCAACTTCTTTTGATCAAGAAAAGAAAAGAAATTAAAAGCAGTATATTAAACATGTATATTAATATAAGGAGAGAGCAGGAGTTCCTTTCATCATACTAAAAAAAAGGGGTGATTTATGATCCATCTTAGAAATAAGAGAATTAATGCCACAGATAGGATAACTTCTTCCTCAAACAGGATTACATTGATCACTTATCACTTTCAGGAGACTGCAGAGGTGAACTGTAATTAGCAAATCTCACAAAGAAATCAACTGTTTGAATCTTGTATAAACTTCCCAGAAAAAGTTCAGAGAATTTTGGCTCCTTTTTTTTTCCATCCTATTCAATGCCCTGTGTACTCCATTAACTTTCTGGAGCTTAAGTATTTGAAAACTTGGAAATATGTCCTGTAATCAAATTGGGTACACCCAAATTAAGACTGCCTGCCAGCAAACTGAACAGGAATGTTCATGTAGAATCAACAGACAGAAAATTCACATTGAAGACTAGATCTCTGTTATAAGATAGCATTGAGAGGCAAAAATTGAGAGGTTGTTGATAACTGCCATCATTCTCCAGCAGAGACAATTTTAGTCTTTTGTGCCTCAAATGAGATGATGATGATAGGGAGGAAATTCAATATTAGGAGTATGTTGAAAGGTACTGAGAGCTGCCCTGGAGTTGCACTCAGGAGCTAAGAAGGATGGGGACAGCCTGTTCACAGATTATAGTATAAGAACATCAAGAGAGGGGCGTGAGTGATGGGACATGGTAGAAACACCTTTTGCATGTCATAGTGAATAAATTCTTGTAACCCTCCTCAGTGCAAAATAAAGACTCTACCTGTACCAATCAACACCATGATTAATGTAGTTTGGATTCTGTAGTCATGATGGCAAGTCAAAAGTGAGAGTCAGTGCTGAATCCTAGTTAGGGAGATAACTTCGGTTATCTTTATCTAAAAGGACAGGGATGGAGATGGGATCAGTGAAGAAGAGTATTTTGGTCATGTTTAAGGATGACAGAAATATGATACTGGCTGATGTAAATAGTAGTAATGTAATATATAATGTAATGTAGTAACTGGTAAGTAACAGATCCAGTGTGAAAGGACCCAGCATTTCAGTAACCAAACAAGAGAAGGGAAGACAATTAGACGTCAATTAATGTCAATTAGAATGCAAATTGACTTGTATAAACTGAGGTAGGGGTTTAGTGGTGGGAAAGAAAGGGAATGGACAAATTATAATAATACATTTTGTGCTGCCAAGAGAGAAACATTTTTTGTTAAAGTGGACTGCTCATACAGGAGAATTAGTAAAAGGCTTCCTAAGTAGACCTGTGGAAGAGTTGAAAACAATTCTCCTTGAAAAAGAGAAGAATTGCTTTTCTAAGGGACCATGGCTCCTACATCCTGACACAAAAGGGGAAAGATAGTCAAGTCATAGGAATAAATAGCCATGTGTAGTTCCAGTTTTCCTTACCTTTCTAACCCTTTCCCCTATACAACTGGCTTCAAGGCAAAACAGGAGAGGGACCTGAGACAGGTGGGATATGAAAGAAAAACAGAAAGAGAAAGGGTAAGAAAGAGGAAGGGAAACCCAAGGAAAAAATAGCAGTGGCTGAACCTATAGTCTAACATGGGAAAGGTTCAGTAGCAGTTCCTTTATCTTGACAACAATAAAAAAAAGGACCTGACCAGGAATACCCAGGAAGATAGATAGGTCCTAAAAGCTAACCAGGGAAGGGGCTGGGAGTGACTTGTTCTGATCTCTCCTTAAGTCTCTAGTGTTTCAGATGAACAAGTTTGGGTCCTTCAGTAAGAAGAATACACAAGAGATAAACCATGAAAGGGACTATTTTTGATGAAATATATGGTATACTATGTGTGTATATATACATATATAATAGTACATTATATGTATGTGAAATATATAATATTATATACACTGCATATTCCATACACATATATGTATGTATGTATATATATACATATACATATTCATATATACATGTAGCCTCTCAGTGTCTCAGTTTCCTTCTCTATAAAATGAGGGGGCTAACATAGATGACTTCTAAAGTCCTTTCCAGACATTGTGTTACTTTTGAGCATGATACTTCACAAAATCAGAGAATCTCTCTGCTTGTTGCTTCAGCTGCAAAATGGAATAATATCTGGTCTTTTCAATATCAGTGTGAAAGATGAAAAAGATAACAGATATGCACAAACGCTGAGCTCAAGGTTAGTTAATAAGCATTTATTAAGTGCCTACTATGTGCCAGCTACTATATTAAGAACTGGGAATCCAAAAAAGGGGAAACCCCATTCCCTGTTCTCAAGGAGTTCACCATCTAACAGAGGATGGGGCTAGAGAAACTGTAGTGCCTGTGATTATAACTTTTTTTTTGGACTGGGTCTGTGATTTCATTAGTGGTGAGGGAATCCCCTCTACTAATGCACATTAACAATTGTACAGTACCTCATAATCTTAGAGAGACACCGGGACACTGAGAGGTCAAGTGCCTTTCAGCTGATCAGTCATGCATGATTGTCATTAACAAGTATAACTCAGACAATGTAATTTTTGAATCTGCTCTGTTCTTTTCTTGAGCCTGTATTTATCACCATCATTGTGACTTAACATTCTAGAGATTTAATCTCTCTATTTGTGGCAAGAATATTAAAAATTCAAACAAAGAAGGATTGGAAGGGCTGGGGTTGACGAATTAACTGGACACTTTGCAGATTTTTCCTTCCAAAAGATTACATTATAAATAGGCCCCTTTAAGTATCCTTTATTGAGAAATAAAAATAGTACCATTTTTCCTGGTTAAATTAAATTTTGAGCTCACTAAGTCTATTTTTTAAAAAGAGAATTTTATTAGTCACATATGAGGATTTAAGACCTTGTTGGGAACCTCAGGTCAGTAGTGCTGGTATTCTAACCCTACTGGGGGCAAGAGGGATTAAGCAGGGGGATTAAGCAGTTGGAAGAGGATATCACTCAGGGAAGAAAGAGTCAGTTATTGCTTAAGTCCATTGGTGGGTCTCTCTTCATACTCCCAAATTCCTAGTGCAACCAGACCAGGGTAGTGAGAGTCACAAGAAGACCCTCATTTGCCTCTGTCCTGGGAGCCCTACCAAAGGCTAGGGCTCATGGTCATCTGACGGCTACAAAGAAGGCTTTCCTTGAAGGATTAGATCTATCATTTGAAGAGAAGACATAGAGAACTTATAGATATTTGTATTAGCCAAATGGATGGTTAACATTTCGCAACATAAATGAATTAACCCTTTCTAAAATACACCTCAACCCTTCACCCAAGTGACTGAACAGTTTTTAAAAATAAGTAGTGTCCATTTTCACCCCAACATACATCCTTCCTATTTAGGATATAGGCAATGAATATGTGGGAGATGTCCATAATTTTGGATCACTGGGGAGAACAAAAATTGGTAAAAATATTTAGCTCACTGAATGTGACAAACTATAGAAATTCTTTACTGAAGTTTGATACCTTTTGTTTTGTTTTGACTGGTAATTAGTTTTTTTCTGACTTTCACTTTGGCCTGAATTCTCCACTTTATCTACTACCACAGATGCCTCTAACTCCTTCCCAGTAACAAAACTTACCTGGTCTATGAACATACCTTTTGATTTGGACCCTTTTCTTGCACTCTACTTTCTCATTTAACAACTGACCCATCATCTTTTCTCTGGCACTTTAAAGTTGAACTGAATTTGGCCTAGCGCTAGTCCCATGGCTCTGCTTATTTCTCACCAGATCTCAGACTGCATTATGAAAGTTTCAGAGGAGCATAGATTTAGAGCTGGAAGGATTTGTGAGGGTATCAAGTTTAACCCTCTCATTTTAGAGATGAGGTCAAAAGAGGTCCAGAAAGGTAAGTGATTTGCCCAGGGTCACACAGGTAGTAAATAGCTTTGTTTCCCTATTAAAATGAAGGCAAGGACTGCCCTGTTTTTGTTTTTTTGTTTTTTTTTTTGTATTTGTATCCCTAGCATTTAGCACAATGCCTGGTATGAAGTTAGCACCTAATAAATGTTCTCCTCCTTCTTTCTTCCCTCCCTTCCTCCTTCCTTTGTTCCTTCAATCCTTCCATCCCTACCTCCATCCTTTCCTCTTTCCTTTATTTCTGCTTCCAAATCCAGTAATATGTATTATACTATACATCCCCCTGTTGCACCACATTGCTAACCTCCTCCCCGGTCTTTGCATCAACATATGGCCAGAGGGTATATGACAAATAGACCTTTTCACAACTTTTGGGTATGATCTTTGTATTTAGCTAAACATTTATTTATGCTCACATTTGTTGTTGCTGTTGCTGACAAAATAAAACAAAACAAAACAAAAACCACCTTGCACTTACCCCTTTAGAATAAGGTAAGTTTCTTGTGAGGAAGAACTATTACCATTTTTAATTCTGTATCCCTCAAACCTATCACAGTGCTTGGCATGGCACACAGGTGATGCTTAATAAGTGCTTACTAAATAGTAACTGATCTATTTCTATGAGCCAGATTCATAATTCTAGAAATGCAAGAGGAAAGATAAGGCAGACGGTATTTCCTTATGGACAACACAGAAACCAAGCTTTACTTGAACATGATGGGCAGCATTGTCCTGGCCGGATGGTGGGATTGCTGCAGGCGGGTACAGGACAGGTGATCAGGGCACACATTTCCCGTCCATTATGACAGTAGCATTCCCGGCATCCATCATGCCAGCTTTCCTCATTTTTATGATGTCGTCCATCCATAGACAGGCAAGTGCCTGTCTGCACAGGGGGCCCAATGGATGCTGAAGGCGTAGCCTCTGTAGAAGATAGTGAGAAAGCAGCTACATATAAAAGCAGTTCCATCAGAGGGAGAAAGTCTGTATAATAAATAAATTAAACTTCAATAGCTTATTCTCTTTTTAGGGAAGCTTTGGTAACTGAAGTTGTGGATCAGTATCTCCCACCCTCCAGTTGAGGGGTATGATAGCACAAGAGATAGAGGTGGAAGAGTCATTTCAAGCCTCCTTGGGCACCCCAGTTTCCATGGTAAAATAAGAGTGGAGGTGCGTGTGTGTGTGTGTAGGTCCATGTCTAACACACACAGAGAATTTCAGATCCAGAAGTTCACTTCTTCTGTAATATATATTATTCTTGTTTAGTTGTTTCAGTTGTGGACGACTTTGTGAGACTATTTAGGGTTTTCTTGACAAAGATACTGGGGTAGTTTGCCATTTCCTTTTCCAGCTCATTTTACAGATGAGCAAACTGAGGCAAATAGAGTTAAGTGACTTAGCCAGGGTCACACAGCTAGTAAATGTCTGAGGCCAGATTTGAATTCAGGGAGACTCATCTTGCTGGCTCCAGGCCCTGTACTCTTAGCCACCTAGCTGACCCTGTAATATACTAGCATTGCTGTAATCTGTTAATTTTAACATTAAAAAGTTGAGCCCTCCTTTCTTCTCTCCCACTCAAAATCAAATGTACTTATTTCCCATAAGGAGTTCAAATAAATTTTTTAAAAGAACCTATTTGATGAATTAGCTAGTAATTTAAAATGGATTTCCCTGGAACACAACAAAACTGATTTTCCTGGGTAACTGCAGGAATAGGGTATAAGCCTCACTTCATTTACAGTAGAGGTTTTAAACTTGAAGCCACTGAAATTGATTTTGTAATATTTTGATATGTGAATTTCACTATCATTGGTTTCTTTTGTAATCTTATGCATTTTATTTTTAGCATACAAACATGTTATTATGAAAAGGAGTCTATAGGCTTTACCAGAATGCCAAAGTGATCCATAATATAGAAAATCTTAAGAACTACTGATTTTTAAGAAGAAAAAATTTCAGGAGAGGAAGTTTGAGGAGGAGGGAATATCAGATAGCAGACACTTTTGGTTTTCTGCATGTGTAAATTTAATTATGTACTTCTTTAGTGAAATACTACTTTCACATTAAATTCACCTTTGTGGGAAATTACATGGGAGTGTTTAATGATTCTCCATGTACACTCTCCAAGAGCTATGAAAGGAACATCCTGACACTTATCAACCATAGTGAGGGTTAACTAACATCTCATTCTGATACCTCCTTGTCACATGACTCACTCCAGTATGACATTTGCTGCTATGCCTGTTTTCAACTCCATAGAACAAGATGCCCCCATGCTGGGTACACTTGATGTTCTGTCCTCTCTGCCCCCTGCTTTCCTGCCTCTTTTTGTGTGCTGTCTCTCCTCATTAGATGATAAGCTTCTTGATGGCAGGGACTGTTTTTCTTTTTATTAATTGTATCCTCCGTGCTTAGCACAGTGTCTGGCACATAGTAGGGGCTTAATAAATGTTTATTAGAAATTGGAAATATTAAGGTGACACAGAGTTTCTAAAGGCTATTCGAGTAGAATCCAAAATCTGGCAAGAGCTAAACTGGAAAGATTTTGAGTAATGACCTAGGGACAGACTGTACCTACAGCTTAAGAACCAGTAAATTCAGAGAAGTTAATCAGAAGGCTGGCCATCAGCTGATGAATATTTACTTCTGGCCAAAGGAACTCAAGAAAACATCTATTAAAATGCAGAGGGATTTGTATTTGTATTTGTGGAGAGAATACCCTTAAAGGTGAAATCAAATATCTTTTGTCAAGGAGAAGAACAAGAGAATCCCCCCATTACAGGGGATATAATGGCCTGAAACCAGTGACAACTTGAGCACAAGAAATGGCATAAAAGAATTTACTGAGGAGCCATGTGTGATCATAAAAGGAAATGGTGTGGTTATGTAGAAAGAATGAGAGACAAACAAATAGACAACTCAAATGGTATACAGGTATTGCCAAAATACTGAAGAAAACAAAAACAAAAACAAAAACAAAATCAAAGGGAAGGAATTGGTAGGGACTACATGAAGGATTTATGGGAAAATAAGTACTGGACATAATGAGAAGAAATTTAAGAGTCACAATCTATGTTGGTGGGGGGAGTGACCAAACTGATGAAAATGCACATATTTGAAAATATCTAAGTTAAATAGATCCCTGATTAAATAGACTTATATATGAACATGAATATGTGTCAAACTACAGTAGAGATGAAAGTGAGAAGCTAAGAAAGTGACTATGTTGGCAAACGTGCTTGTTAATTAAATACTATTTTAAATTCTTTGTTAAGTTTGTAATACATTAAGAAGACAGAAATAAAGAAAACTTAAGGGCTTCTCCTTTAGAAAGTGATTGTTAAACTTCAGTGGAAGAAACATTCTCTTAACATGTCTTATTACAACACATTCTCTCTTTTGTCTTTCTTTAAAAAAGAAAAAAAAGAATCCTTGGTTGCTTTGAAAACAATGGGGATGTGTTCACACTTACCTCGGCACTTACAGATAAGACAACCATGACTGTCCACCTGGAAACCCACTGGACAAATTTTACTGCATGGGTGCTCAGGACATTTCTTACAGCGGCAGATGTCGCAGCCATGTTTATTCTTCCTAGATAATTGAAATTTTGTCAAAGGTCAAAAAATTACCTAAAACACCTCAAATGATGATCAAATGCTCAAATCAGAGGTCATAGAAATGAAATTACTATTACTCTGCAAGTATTCTGAGGGCATAGGTCACTAGAACCTCATGCCCATGTCCTGCAAACAAGTAACAAAAGAGGACAATTCTTGACTATGCTTCTGGGAGAATCCTTTTAATTAGGAGAACTGTATCCACAACTTAAAACTGATGAGTAAATAATTGCATAAACAGGATGGATAATTAAGGACCTTCCTCACTGCTCCTTCTGAGAACAGTGGGGAAGCCAAGAGCTTGCTTTTGTTGTATTAATTAAAGTGCAACACATACCCCACCTAACCTGACTGTGAAATTCAAGAAATTAATGAGAGTTTTAATATCAGCAACAAAACCTGCCATGAATATTAGTGGAAAATAGAAATATTAAATATGACAATAGCTCACATTCATAAAGCTCTTTATGATCATTTACCAATTCCTATCTTAACAACTAGTCTATGAGGTAGTTAGTGCAATTATTATCACCTCCATTTAATAAATGAAACTAAGGCTAGCAAGTAAACTCCTTGGCTCATTTAGCTAGTAAATGTCAGTGCTAAGACTTGAACACAGGTCCTCCTGATTCTAAATTCCAGTGCTCTTGCCACTATTCTATGATGTCTTTGGAAATGCCATTTTCTGGGACAGTATCTAGGTATACATAACATGCTCAATAAATGTTAACTTGACTTATGACTTCTTAAGTTTTTCTCTTTTCTTCTTTAATTATCAGTCTCCCACATGAAACAGGAACTCACTGCAAAGCAGTTAAGAAAGAATATTATTTTTATTTGTTTATTCAGGTCTTCCTGATTGCAAATAGAGCACTCTATCAACTGTACCACATAACTTACCTACAAGACTGGATTAGAATATATCATTACAACATTCTGAGTACTTACAATTGTATATTTAAAGAAAAAAAGTCCAAAATCCTTATGTAAAAAACCCTATTTCTTATAATATGAAAAAGGAGAATGGCATTGATTCTCTGAAAAATTAGTAAAAACTCCATTTTTATTATTCCCATGTCATACTGATAGGAGGATTTCTGATACATTATTCATTTAAGTACCATTGCCACAGAATTGACTATGGTTGGACAAGGGGGGTGTCCTCAGAACAGAAATGAACATGGAAAAGTTTCTTTATGGGGCAGCTAGGTGGCGCAGTGGATAGAGCACTGGCCCTGAAGTCAGGAGGACCTGAGTTTAAATTTGGCCTCAGACCAAACACTTGACACTTACTAGCTGTGTGACCCTGGGCAAGTCACTTAATCCCAATTGCCTTAAAAAGAAAAAAGAGAAAAAAAAAAAGAAAAGTTTCTTTATTCAGATGAAGTAGTTAGACTTAGGTCAGGAAAACCTGTGTTTAAATCCTGTCTCTGACACAGTATAATTGTGGAGAAGTCATTTAGCTTCTCTGACAATCAGTTTCCTCACCTGGAAAATGGAGTAAGAGTGGCACTTATTTCATAGAGTGTTGTGGGGTTAATGAGATAACTTATGTAAAAATGTCTTACAGAACTCAGAGGACTATATAAATATTAGATATCATTGCCATAGCAGCCACAATAACGAATCCAACTATTCCTCTTCCCTATCTCATCTTAGCCAAATTGTTGCTAGAAGACAGTTTAAGGAAAATGCACCACTCTTCTTATAATCAGAGCCAAATTCTTCTAAGAGAACTTAGAAGTGGAAATGGGAGATTGGCTTGTCATTGAGAATGTGTTAAAAATGAATTACCTGTGTTTCTTTTCATTGGCCAACCTCAAGGGGCTTCAAAACACTGAGTTCTGTGTTTCTCTATCTAAGGAGTATTTAGTGAATGTTGATTGTCCCAGGAAACCTACGGGTACTGACAAGGGGCATTTATGGCTGATTTCATCTTTATTCCCTAGATCTAAGTTCTAGTCAGATCATTCTTCTGGAAGGATATGCACACAGAGCATACATTTAACCCTATGCCATATATAGCAATTGGGTGGGTGGGTGGGGATATGACTACAATAAGGCACACAAAACCTACATAGTGTTTCTTCTTAAAGACCTCTTGTTGAGATGTGGGTTTGATCTGAAAGCATCCTTATTCTTCAAAGGGATATTACAACTGCAGTAGAGTAGCTGGTTCCTGCTAAGACTGGGACTGCTGTTTAGGAAGCAGCATTACCAGAGACATCTTATGCAACGGCTGTGTTGTTGCTGTTGTTATTTTTTACAGCAATCTGTGCTTCCACCTGTGTACAGAGCTCTAGGTAAGAAACTGCTACCAACACAGACAAGTACCTTTTCTGCCACCTACTGCCTTGGAGAGTTTCTCAGACTTTTGAGAGGTTTAGTAACTTGACAGATTACCCTGTAGGTATGTTGCAGAAACAGGACTTGAACCCAGGCCCTTCTGATTCCAAAGTTGACTCTTTACCTATTACACCACTCAGAGGATATTTAAACAAGCTTTTTGTGATGAACTCAAGAAAGCTGAGATATATGCAATGCTCTTTTATCCATGTACATATTTTATTTTGAGAGTTTTTCTTTCTTTCTTTTATTTTTTTGGAGGCAACTGGGGTTAAGTAACTTGCCCAGGGTCACACAGCTGGCAAGTGTCTGAGGCCAAATTTGAACTCAGATCCTTCTGACTCTAGGGCTGGGGCTCCATCCACTGCACCATCTAGCTGCACTGCCACCCCTTTTTTGAGACTAGGTCTCCCTCTCTAGACCAGGCTGGAAGTACAGCAGCCATTCAGGCTTGGTCCCAATATAAGTTTGGCATGAAACCTGCTCTGTTTCTGATATGGGCCATTTTATCTCTCATTAGGCAGCCTGGTGACTCTGATCCTAGGGGCTCATCATATTGGTGCCAAAATTAGCGCAGACACTCAATCAGTTTATTATCCCACTGCAGCTTGGAACTCCTGAGCTCAGGAGATCCACCAGCCTGAGCTCCTCTAGTAGCAAGGATTATAGGCATGTATCACCACACTGGTTTACACGGATGGTTTCTAAAATGTAATTCATTGAATTAAAATTAGAATCAAAGACTGTTAGAGCTGGAAGCGACCTAAGATGTCATGTAATCTGATCCCTTCATTCAACAGGTAAGGAAATAAAGGTTCAATGATAGGAAGGAATTTGTCCAAGGTATTATAGTTAGCTAGTTAGGGGAAGAATTGGAATTTGAACACAGGTCTCGTCTCTCTATTTTATCATTTTTCCATTATACTGAATTGTTCTTCATATGTGAACACATGAAGGCTGTCTGAGTTCATCAATGTGGGGGAAATCTCTGATGAAATAATGCCTTCCACTAAGGGAGGCAATGATTTGTCTACGCCTTAACCTGTTAAGTCCTGGGGAGTTCCTTGAAGAGCACAGAGATTAAATGATTCACCCAGGGCTACAATACTAGTGTGTGTCAGAGGCAGAATTTGAACCTAGACCTCCCTGACTCCATGCCCGGCACTCTAATCACTATGTCACACTCGAGAGGCAGTGTGGTATAGAAGAAAGAATGTTGGACTGGGAGGCAGGAAAACCTGGGTTTGAATCCTCTCTTGGGCAGTCAATAATAGAATGATTCTGGTCCAGTCCCTTAAATTTTGGGGGCTTCAGTTTCCTCATCTGTAAAAATAAGGGTGTTGGACTCAATGAAATTGTCCATTTATAATAAATGTTAAAGCACTTTGGTAAAAAAAAAATAATCATTATCATAATCTAATACTGAATTAAAATGACTTTTTCATTTTCCTTAAATGAGTATTCTTAAGAGGCAGACTAGAGAAGATGGCTGGAAATAGGGAAGGTGGTCCAAAGATAAGGGGAAGAGGCCCTTGAATTTAATATTGGCTCCAAGTTAAGAATATAAGTGTAAAAGACAATTAGAAAGATTGAGAAAGATAGGAAAAGGTAGAAATAACAAAGCAAACAACATTACAGCAAAATTAGCAAGAACTTAAAAATACCATCTTTATGCCAAGTCCTAGTTAGTTAGTGGGATAATCAAAGAAACAAATGCCAAATTTCTGATTATTTTTCCCCTCCAAAGGTTTAGAATCTCATGGTATGCAACTCAATATGAGGTAAATGAAAGTACTACTATCTTCCATCAGATTCTTAAGATTATATGTTGTGCCAAGAAAATAAATCATGATTTCTTCAATGGAACCAAGATAAAGATTCTCAGTACTAAGGTCAGGGAAGACATATATCACTTAGTTATATAAATGACTGTCAAACCATCTTAAGGAAAGATTAAATTACCATAACATGGATAATGAAGATGATAATCCTTGTGATTATCCTAAGTAGACTGGAATTTCAAAATAGGTGCTCAAAAATGCTTTCTGAATTGAATTGTCATAAGGAAATTTTCTGTTGGATTCTATTAGTGGAGATTTATGAGAGGTATCTAAGGTGTTCCAGAAAGAGCCATGGATTTGGTGCCAGACAGCACTGCTTCAAATTTTGGCTCTGCCTTTATGACTTCAGGGATGTCACTTTAACCTTACTAGGCCTCCATTTCCATATCTGTGGACCTGTAAGATCCCTTCCGACTCTAAATCCTATGACACATATTTTGTTATATAGGAGTTTTAAGCTATTAGGTAATCCCATGGCATAGATTCTAAGGTCAGTGTTATTAATATGATTCTGAATGTTTCCAGAAAAGAAAAAAGAAAAGAAAACTTAGCTCCTGTTAGACAAAAGAACTATTTGGGAATTACAATCTTAAATTAAAAAAACAAACTTTTAAAATAGTATTAAAAAAATGAACAAAATGAGGATACGCTTTTCTCTCTTCACACCATTAGTTTTCCTCATAACCACATATGAAATAACTAAAGTCAAAAGGATCTGAGAGTTTGATAGATTTACAGGTAATAATAATCAGGCTTTCTGAACTGACATACGTACAGGTATCCGAATGGGCAATACTTGTCACATATTACAGGCTTGCATTTCTTAGGCCGAGGGCGGCATTGACATATCTCACAGTTCTGGGCATCAGTTTGGAAACCAAAGGGACAATCCAAGGTGCAACCACGTATGAGGCTGGTGCACAGCTCCTCTCCTGTGAAGAACATAGGAAGAGCACAGTTTTCTAAAGATGAAGGTGATAGATGTAAGAACAAACTGAAATGTCTACCAAATACCTTCTAAAATTTCAAGAATTAAAATGTCCATGAATTGATATGAAATTACTTGACCCTATGCATCTTAAATATCTTAGTATAGGTATTAGCATTATATAATAATTGTTGGAAAGATTCTAGATCATGCCATCTTATGCACATATGACTCACTAGTATAGTATTTATTTACAAAGCAAAATCCAGATTTAAATCTGAGACAAATATATTTTTTAATTTTCTTATAAAATATAGTTTCCTCCCCACCCCCAACTCTTTCTAAAGTACACCTGGATCTGGTACTCAGGAAGTAGGCTGACAAATGTTACTTAAGATACGAGTGAAACGGAATGAGTTTCCCTATCTATTTTCTATCTTTGAAAAAACAACTTTTTCTTTGTTAAAACAAAGCTGGCCATTATGGAATCCTAAGAGTTATCTGTAATGCAATCAGATTAGATGAGTGATTATTAAGCCAGTATCAGAGACCTTTGAGAAATTATGGAAAACAGAAAAACATCGCAGGACTAGATATGGGCAAATACTTTGATCTTAAAAAAAAAAAGAGAATTGAGTCTGTAAATTCTATGCCAATGAATTTGACTGATTCCTGCAAAATTCTAGAATGTCACTGAAGGGTTGCTTAGTGAACGATTAGAAAAGGAAGTTTACCTTCTAAGGGTCAGCAAGGCGTCATCAAGAACAGGTCATTTTCTATTAAGCTCATTTTCTTTTTAAGAGACTTGCTAAGCTATTGTCAGGGGAATATCATAGATATAATTTTAGCAGTAATCCTAATCAGTTGATTCAGAAGTGACTGCATGGCTGAATCAACTAAGTGGCATTAATGACCCAACGTCAGCTTGGACGGTCTTAAGTGCAGCGGTTGAGGGATTTGTGCTTGGCCTTGTGCTATTTTTTTTAATCATTCACTAGGATAAAGGCATAGATGGCACGTTTAACAAATGTGTAGATGACACAAAGTTGAAAGGAACATTGGATATAATGATTATCAGGGTTAAAAAAAAAGATCATGACAGGCTAGAACATTGAGCTGAATCTAACAAGAGGAAATTTATATGGATAAATGTAAGTCTAGCCCTTGGTCCAAACAATCAATTTCAGAAGTACAAATTAGGGGAGGTGTGGATTGCATCTACAGAATTGTGTTCTGGAGTTCTATTTATTTTGTATGTATTTAAATATATATCTGTTGTTTCTCCTGAAGAAGCACAAGTTTTCCTGAGGGCAAGGACTGTTTCATTTTTGCCTTTATATACTCATTGCCTGCCTCATAGTCAGTGTTTAATAAATGGCTATTGATTGATTGGTTGATTCCAGACAACACATTTCAGAAAATACACTGATAAGCTAGATGACGATGAAGGACCTGAGACTATTCTATATGAGAATTAACTGAAGGAACTGGGGATGTTTTAACATGGAGAAGAAAGGATTTTCAAAGATATGAGAGTTATATTTTTAATATGTGAAAGGCTGTCATATGGATGAGGAAAAAACCTTGTTTTCTTTGGCCCAAGAAGGCAGAACTAAGAACAATGGTTGGAAGATGCAAAGAGGCAAATTTAGGTTTAATGTTAAGGGAAACTCACTAACACTTAAAACTTACCAAAAAATGAAATAGAGATGGTGGGTTTCCCCTACCTAGAAGTCTTTAAGTGAAGACAGGCTAACCTTTTTGGCGCATACTGTAGACAGTTATTGTTTAGGTATATACACTGGATGAAATGGAATCAACTGTTTATTGACCAATAATTTAATCACTTATTTTCAAAATTACATGCTTTTCATGAAATGTTAATTTGGAGATTTTTGACATAATCTTTACTGGTACTGGTACTATTTGCTTCAAGAGTATTTGGTGAGTGCCTTCAGCCTACATGTATTATGCGTTTATATACTCCTTGCCTATGCTCTCAAAAAAGTACAACTGATCAGCTTAAAGCCAAGATATTCATGTAAAACATGAAAAATTAATAGTTTTCAGGGAGGAGATTACAGAATTCATCATGAAAGATGAGTTTTCATTAAGCCTGAACACTGTTTATACTAAAACAAAAAAGGAATGAGCTGCTTTAGGAGGCTGTGCATAGCACTGATCACACAAAGTGTGTGTATGATGGTCTTACTAGCTTAAAAAAATTACATTTTAACCTTAATCTGAAGAGGCCAAAATGGATGGCCATTTTCTGATGAGGGTTTTAGATGATATAGTTTACCAATATAAGTTTTTAGTATTAGTGAGTTCCCCCTCATCTAGAAAAAGGAAAATGGAAGATGGCTGATATACATATATGTGCATATGAAATATATATTATAATAATATAATTTTCTTTTTCCCCCAGCAAATGTCTTTTGCCACATATATTTAGAATAACCACAGACCCATGTAATTTCTGTGCAGCAATTGATTGCTAATTTGCATATCTGAATGCAAAATTTCAGACAGCTCATTTTAAAATTTGTAATTATAAAATCTGAAAGGTCACGGTTCTTCCACGCTTCCTTATGGGAATGATGAAAAAGAATTCAAAACTTCTAAACATAAACTTTCTTCCTTTCCAGCTCAGATTATGATGATTTAAATAGGAGTGGAGGATGAAAAATTGTGAATTAATGTAGATGCTCTACTAAATCAGCATCCAATTGAATTAGCTTGCAAGAAAATACTAGGAAGCCTTTTGGGAGATCAGGGCAGATCTTCAACCTAGAGTTAAAACCAGAATCTCTAGGAATCAAGTTCCTAAAATAACTCCCTACCTTGAGCAGGCCTAACACAATATCTTTGGTCCAAAAGGGTAACAAGAATAATTTGCATCAGTAATAATACTACTTTACTGGCAGCTAGGTGGTTCAGTGGGTAGAGTGCTGGACCTGGAATCAGAAGATCTGAATTCAAATCCACCTTCAGATACTCCACAGCTGTATGACCTCTATCTGCCTCAGTTTCTTCATATGAAAAATGGGGATAATAACAATAGCATCTGTCTCCAAGGGTTATTTTGAGGACAAGAGATATTTGTAAAATGCTTTACAAAATAGAAAGCCTCATATAAATGTTATATATAATTATTATTGTTTTTAGGGATAGCCATCATCCTGGAGAAAAGGTAGCCTACTGCCATTTAGACTTAACCACATTGACAAAGGCTAAGTATTTATTAATTAGGGGCTCACAGAGTTGTGAGAAAAGTACTTTGTTATCTATAAAATGTCATAGTTGTAAATGTGACCACAGATTACGAGATCACAAGCTGAAAGGTGATTTTAGTGTGAAAAGGGAGTTAAATTCAAGGGAACTTAAATAGGTTAGCAATAGTGGCTTGCCTTTAAACTTCTTTGACATGGTTTACCTTACCTGTTCTCCATAACTTGGATCTTTCTCAGTTTTTTCAGTCATCCACCTCCATCACTATGCAAGAATAAATCTGTTTCTAGGATGCTACTAGTCTAGCTGAATATTTCAATAGCCCATCTTTTTACCTCACAGAGAAAATTCTCACTTGATTGCCGACATGACACATACAAGAAGGTAGTCCATATTCCAAGTATTTGACATGGAATTTCTATCAAAGGTAAGCAAAAAGTCTTAGCAAATGGAATAGGTAGATAGAAAAAAATTCAGCATATTTTACAATAGGTCAAAGAAAACTAGAGGAGGGGCACATCAAAGTTGAGAAAGTTTAAGAGTAACTCAGTAAAAATTTGTTTAAAGGAAGGTTCATAATATTTCAGAATAATTACATGAGTGATCTCTCAGAGCAGCTTTCAATTTTACTAAGATCACTCTAAGAAAAGGAAAATGCACAAAGATGAAAATATCATGTAAGGCATTAGTCCAAAAAGAACGATCAGTTCCCTCTCTTCTAGAGGGAAGAAAGCTTTCTTTAAAAGTGTGTCTCCGTTTATTTCTTGCCTCCATGTGATTTCATTTTAAGAAGGTACTGATGAAATATCATGGAGGCAGCTGGAATGATGATACTAACTCGTACTTGGGAAGGTGGAAAGGCGTCAAGAGTTATGATGAGGTAAAAGCAAAATGATACATTTGGGTAGCACTGTCTAGTTATTTGGGTAGATCCCATTTTTAGGAGAAGTGATAACAATCCTGAGCTTTTTCCTTTCACCTCTCATTTTAACAAGTCTCAGGTAATTCCTATACCAAAGCATAGTTTTGCCAAGTTGAAACTCATTATTTTAACATTTTGCTTCTAAAGAAAGTAATTCCAGTTGCTAGCAACAACAGATGTTCTGGTTGGAAAAGGTAGTATAAATTCTCTTTACTATATGCCTTATGCCTATCTTCCAATGATTTTAGTTCTGTTATGGATCACCCAGACACAGCTAAGTGGTGCAGTAAATAGAGCACTGGACCTAGAGTCAGGAAAACTCAAATCCTACATCAGACACTTACTAGTGTGACTCTGAGCAAATGACTTAAACTCTCTCAGCCTCAGTTTCAACAACTGTAAAATGAGGGGGGGTTGGACTCAATGGCATCCAAGGTCACTTCCAACTCTAACTCTGTCACTATGAACTATATTCTTGAATAGGTCATCCTTGTTTCTCTTCTCTATTGGATTCTCTGGCTCTGACAAAGCCAACAGTGCATTTGAAGTCTCTGAAGGATACGGGCTCCTCTTTTTCTTTAACTGTCTTACAAAAAGGTTATTTGTTACAGGTGAAAACCCCAAATAAACAGGACTACAAGTACGTTCAGACAAAAGCCTATTTTTGTCATGTACTTTCTGCATACTTTTAAAGTACATGTTTCTACAAGGTTAGATTTCAACTGTTGGGTGCTTGTTGTCATGTGCCAGAAGTATTCACAGTTGCTTGTCTTTAATTATGCTATTGAGCTTTTTACTTTCCCCTGTGCGGGTGACTGGTGTTTACCTGTTTCCCCTTGCTGATGCTAAGTGTGGGAGAGGTCCCATGTCATCAGTCCACAGCTTTCTCAGAATTGAGAGGGCCTGAGGTTCACTGATAATTTAGGCAGTTGTACCTAAAATGCGTTTTTGACTGCACCCCTGGTTTAATGCACCATCAGGAACACTGCCATTGAAGAGAAAGGCATGGAGAATGGCAAAATATTGTTCCTGGCATTATTCCAAATGATTGGAACAGTGACAGTTCAATCTGCTCTTGAGATTGAGACATTTTACTCTCTTAAACAGTACATCTGCATTTCTTACCATCTCATATCATTGCGGGGAGTGACAACTGGGACTAAACTTCAGTGTACAGACATTCACGTGATTTGAGAAATGTGTAGAAACTTCATCAGTCAAAAAAAGGAAGGAGAATCAAGTCAAAGCTTACCCCTGATGTTACTGATTCCAAGAGTTTAAGAATACTTGTGTGGTGGGGGTACTACTCTGATTTAATATTTACTATTTTTTTTAAATCGAGTGAAATTGGAACTCAAAATTTTGAGTAATCTATCATGTATTCAAAGACAAGTATAATCTCTAAAGTCTTTTAATTATAAAATGGTTTGGGCTATTGATTACACAACTGTGGCAAGTGGAAGTTTAAATGACAAATTCAGTAACAATGACGAAAAACTCATATTCAAGTAGCAAAGTAGAACTCAAAGGTTTGCAATGGATGGAAACTGAAAAGAGGAAAAATTAGGCTTGATGTCAGGAGAAATATCCTAACAATTAGAGGCATCTAAATGTATGAAAGGCAATAATTTTCCCTTTATTGAATGTCTTCAAGCAGGGGATGGATGACCATATCATATATGCTGTAATTAGGGATTCTATTTTGTGTAGGGGTTATATGAGATAGCTCCTCAGAGGCTTATCAACTCTAAAATTCATTGAAAGTAATCAGTTATTTTCAGTCATTTGGGTGGCAGGAGAGAACAAATTAAGAAATATTCTTGGACACCAAGAACATACCTTCTAATATGTCAATAGATGAAAGAAAGAGAAATTTTGAGAGTTAGATCTATTAGATGGTAGGGCACAAAGTAATAGGAGGAAGAAGGCAGGACAACAGGGAATTGCTTTTGCTAAGGCCAGTGGGAAGAACAGAAGAACTCATGCAGGGTGTGAAAGAAGGAAGGAGTTTCTAGGGATTAAACACTACATGGTTTCCATTGTATTTTTTGGTAGCCAGACTGAGACTGCCTAACTACAGAAACTTAGTAGTAAGAGAACCGAGGTGTTGGCAGTGTTTTCTTATCTGACTGCCACTTACCTTATTAGGGCTTCACAAGAGTGTGTGTGTGTGTGTGTGTGTGTGTGTGTGTGTGTGTGTGTGTGTGTTTCCTAACATTGCTTGTAAATCTCTACTGGTATCTCCCATGTCCACTGGAAAAGCATGGGGATGCACTTCTCCAATTCTGGATGATACAGCTAAGAAATTTCACTTCGCTACCTCTGCTTCTGTTAATGTCTCTGTCTCTTTCTCCATCCTAATCCTGGCTCTTGATCTTTCTCTTCTCTCTTACCCCCGACCCCCCACTCTTCTTTTCCTGAGTGTAAGATGGCAGTGAAGAAATCCTGGTGGGACATGGCAAAGAAACTCCTATTTAGAAATCTGACATATGACTTATGACTAGATCTTGGGTATCAGATAAAATTACTTTATATGACAGACTGCTAATCCTTTCTAATAGCCCTTGGAGTAGGGATGATGAAGGGCTTGTTAAAATAAGGCTAGATCTCAAAAGTAGGGCTGGTAGCACGGGGCCAAGGGACCCAGGTCCAATGCACAACCCAGTTCTAGAAGACACTCCTTCTTTCTGGATGGCATTTGAATGTCTGTCTTAAGCTAGAGCTATAAATTTCAGACAGTGGGATTAACTGTGAGTGGGCATTCTTGTATTGCCCCAAAACTTGGCATACATTGATGATGTCTTATGTATGATCCAAGTACAAGAGACCCTCTGCTTTCACAGGGGATATGTTCTAGTGATCTCTGCCAACAAGGAAGTCTGCAAATTTGCCATACTGTACATAAACATAGATGAAAGGGGATTTGTTTCAGACATACAAAAGCTGACACCTCTTTCTAAAGCTAGTTCTTTTTTCAATTATCTTTCGAATTTTCTGATTATGTCAGGGGAGAACCTGTTATTAGGTGTTAATCTCTCCTTTTGATAACTGTTAAGCTCCAAATAATGTCTAACCAAGGAGGATCACTATTTTTTAATTGGTATTTTTTCCCACATCACAGTGTCTCCACCCAAAAATCCTAACTTACTGAATGAGGAAAGACCTCCTCGATCCACCCTGCAGTGGTACAGGCAATAGTTTGGCATTGCCAGAAAACCAATAGCAATGACAGGTTGATGGGGCAAAAGGCAAACATCCAAAAATGAAAAATTCAAAGCTATAAATTATAAAAAATTTCTGCATTTATTTTTGGCACTATTTGGTTGCTTATTTTTATTTGCAACTATGTGAGGGCTTTATAATACTGTGGTCTTTACTAAACAAGTATCACATATCAAGCAGATATGACAAGTTGAATTGCATTCCACAATGTTGAAATGACTTTTAAAAGTGATCATTAGACACTTGACACTTACTAGCTGTGTGACCCTAGGCAAGTCACTTAACCCCAATTGCCTTGCAAAAAAACCAAAAACACAAAAGTGATCATTAAACAAATTTCCATAATCTCTGAGAAGTCAAGGAGAAAGGGAAAATTTCAGAAGATTGAAGACTGGAAGATATTTCCTTAATATGAACAAAAAGGGGAAAATGGTGGATTCTAGAAACACAGAAGTGAGGTTGATACAATTTGAGAATGGATTCAAGTACTTAGGAAATAAATCAGTGATCACCGAGAACCAATTATTTTGACCTTATTAATAATAAGGTCAAAATAAGCTAATTTCTCTTTGTATAGGGCAAATAGGTCAGGAAAATACTATAGACATAGTTTCCCTGGATTTCAGTAAGGCATATGATAAAATCTTTTATGATAATCTTGTGGATGAGATGGAAAAATGAAACTGGTTGATGATACTGCTAAGTGGGTGCATAACTGACAGAACAACTCTACCCCAGGCATGACTAATGGATTAATGAAAATTTGGAGAGAGATTTTTAACGACATATCACTGGGCATATCAAATATGAATGAAGATAATTAAAGCATGTTTATCAGATTTTTCAGAGAACACATTTAAGGAGAGTAGCTGAAATGTTGGATGACAGAATCAAGATTTACGAAGATCTTAATGTGCTGGAAGGATGCACTAAAGTAAACAAGAGTAAACTTAACAGGGATAAATACAAAGTCCTGCATTTAGGTGAATAAAAACATTATTTTTTTGATGTGTAACTAGGAAAACCTGGGTTTGGCAGAAGTTCATATGAAAAACATCGAGGGTTTTTAATAGACTGCAGGTTCATTATGAGACTAACAGTGTGATGTAGCCGCTAACAATTTATATAATCTTAAATAGCCTTAATAATTGGGATAATATCTTGGTAAGGAAGCTTATGGTTCCCCTGTACTTTGCATTGCTCTGACTACATTTGGGCACTGTATTCAGTACTGGATGCCAGGAGAAACACAGGCAGATTAGTATGTATGCAAATGAGAGTGATCATAATGGGGGACTTGAAACCATATAAAATAAATAAAAAAAAACAATTGAACTATGTACAAATGCAGAATAAGATAAGAATTAAGTGGGGGGGGCACTGGAGAAAGGTAAGTTCTATGGGGACAACTAGAAACAATAAGTGGAAATTAAAGCAATTCAGATATTGATTCATTATAAGCAAAAATGTTTAAATAGTAAGAGCTTTGAAAAGTGGAATGGGGTATCTAATGAGGTAGTAAGTACTATGTCACTGGAAATGTTTAAGAGAAAGCTGGGCAAATATATCTCAGAGAAATAATAGTGAAGATTCATGCACTGGGTAAGATGTAGAAGACTATTGTGTGACTGATTTTTTTTTTTTTTGGTTTCAGAAATCCTATGAAAGGCCATTAGTAGAATAACCAAGTACCTTTTCTCTTAACAAACCAGTGTATATTTATCTATGTAGATTAGGAAGACTTTTTCTATTTCGGTGTTGCCAAGGGAATGTCATGAACAACACTGAGGAAGAGATTAAGTCACATGCTTTGACAAAATCATATTAGGCCTGAGAAAAACATAGTTTTCTGCATACTCACTGTTCTTGCACTGACAGATTCGGCAGCCATTGTGATCAAGTTTGAAACCATAAATACAATCCTTTTCTGTCAGAGTACAGTTAGATAAGTCCCCACAAGCAGGCGGATCAACTGTAATATATGATGGTTCTAAGAATAAAAAAAGAAAAAAAATCCTTGAAACACATGCATGCTTGATACAATAACATTTAATCTTGAAATAGCATACTAAGAAATTTGGTAAAGTGGCTGAAGGAAAGTCTCAAACTTTCCTATCCAGGATTTTCAGAAAGTTTGTTTGAGCCCAGCAACATTGTCTTTTTGAACAGATGAGGAGCCTGGGTTAGTAACTCATATTCAAATCTGTTTATACATTCTTTGGCCCCCCTACAGGAAACTTAGATGATAGAAGCTGTCATAAAAGGTGGACGAGAAGATCAGAAGTTCATTCATTAATTTATCTGCATTTTCTTCCTGCTGTTAGGTGGAATTTTTTTTTCCTTGAAGGAAAAAAAAAAACTGGAGAGAAGATGATGCCTGCTATCAATTATTCCGTCATCCTCCACAGCAACTTCCCTGGAACTAAGAAAACAGTCTCTAATGTATTCAGTAGGATAGTTTTGAAGCTCCATTAACGTATCTATCTGTCTTTCTTTTTCTATAAACCATATTACTACACAAGTAATATTATATTGATTAAGTGTGTATAAGCTCAAATGAGTGTGATGATATAACATAGAGGTTTTGGGACGAAGAGAAAACACCTATTCTCACAATGGGGGGAAGCAGGAGAACCTTGTGATGCTGTGAAAAGATTCATGCAGAAACTGTGACAAAAACTAATGCTGTGCCTTAAAAGACATGCTAGGTGTTAAGAGGCTCCAGATATGTAGAAAATGTCAACCAAAATATTTAATTTGGTTAAGAGGAAAATTCCTATAATCTTTGGTTCTGAAGAGCATCCTCAAGGAGACTGAGGAAAATAATAATAATACATGTTATTTATGTAATTTTTTTTCCCTCCAAAGATGCCATGCATGCATTTTACACATGGCAAGTTATTCCTAATAACATGCTTCTGAGAGAACTAAGAACAGAATGTCTGTATATACCTTTTTTTTAAATAGATGGAAAATATGAGGTTCAGAGAACATTAATGACTTATCTAAATTTACATAGCAACTCAGTAGCTGGCTGAGAATAGAACAGACCAGTGGTTTCCTGACATAACCCAACATAGTAACCATTAGTTTTATAACATCTTCTCAAGTTTCATCTGCTGTACCCATGGAAGGGGAATCAAAATAAAAGGTTAAGAAGTTCACAGCATTTTACCTGTAATTGTTAGAATAAGGAGTTTTGAGCTTGTAATTCAGTTTTCTAACGTGGTATGGTTATTAAAATCTCTTCAGGTAGTAATTTACCACGGTGTACTACAATAATGAATTTATTGGAGTTCTACCAGTTAAAAATATTTATAGAGTACACAATCTTTGCTTTTAATACAACATGCATATTTTGAGCAATATCTTGTGTTTTTAGATCAACTTTCCTGTGCTGTAATTTAAAATATCCCCTCTGACCAAAGCTGATGGATAGCTAGAAACTTCACAAAGAGATACTGGTTAGATTGAAGCGGTGTTTAGCATATTTTAGATGAAATAAGGTCACCATTTTCCTATAGTGCCTTAAAATTCATCATAACCACATAAGATTTCCTACTTAGGATTATGTGAGGTTTTTTTTTTTGTCATCTTTTTATTAACCAATCAGAATGACAGAGATGCAATTTCTGACCACAACCTCCAGCCACAAAGTCACCATTCCCTTGGGAAGCCACTTTCTCTTCAGAAACACAAGACTGAAAACAGTCTGATGCAAAGCTAAGAAGTGTAAACCACAGCCTAGTCCAGCAAAAGAAAGAGTTCCATATTCTACAGTGCCTAAAGCAGGAACCAGGGATTCTGGATTTTGGCCCCTGGATAGCACAAGTGGATGGAATGTTGGATTTGGAGTCTGGAAGACCTTAGTCAAATCATTCCTTGGACACTTCTAGCCTCATAACCCTGAGCAAGTCATTCAACCTCTCTCAGCCTCAGTTTCCACATCTATAAAATAGAGATAAAAATGTAATCTACCTCACAGAACTGTTGTAAGGATAAAAATGAGATAATACAAGATGTCCCAGAAGTTTGAGTGAAGTTTTAAGCTCTAATAACTTAAAACTACATTCAGACTTCTGGGATACCCTGTATATATAAAGCATCTTGTAAACCTTAAGGAGATATATATATATATATATATATATGTATATATATATACACACATATACACACACACACACGTATATATGTATGTGTGTATACATATATACATACACATATAATGTATTATATATTATTAATGGTGGCTATTATTGCTATGGTTATTATTATTTTATTTTCAATTCTGTTAGTATGAGCATTAATGGACAAGCGTATCTGTACCATATATCAAGCTGCACAAAAAAAACCTAGAAAATATTTTAGGTCATATGGTTTTATAAGATACTCACAAAATCTTTTCAAAAGTACAATATGGACAAGTTTATGCTTAGGCAAATATAAATCTGTATAGAAAAAAAATTAGAATATCCAGTGTAGAATCCATTGCTATTTTTATAGAACCTGAAAGAAGATTTGCACAGGGTAAATGAAGTCCTAATCATTCTGCTCCAGGTCAAAGTCAATACCCCCTCAAAACAATCTTTGCCTCGATCTCTTTTTTACATTCTGTCACCCTATTTATGTCACAGATATTTTGACATTTCTTTCCCTATTGGTAGATTGCAAGGTTGGCATCCTACTGATTTTTGTATCTCTACTGCATTGAAAGTGATACATGCTTAATGGAATGTTTTTAAATTAAATTGAACTGTTTTTAGAGAATGGTTAGAATAAGTTTAATATATAGCCTATCTCCCTTATATACAAATATGATACTGCTACTGTTCTCTTGTCACTTATGAATTTTGTCCAGTTGTAGTAATGATTCAGTTCAATTAGATTTAACAGGGATTTACTAAGTGCCTCTATATAAGGTACTGATTAATTTGTGCTATTCTCTGGTTCCCCTACTGACTAATGGTTCACAAATGTAAAATGGCCTAGGGTTACAATGTGGAACTGAAACAGAATAAAGTTACTTGTCGGACATGAGGGTCCCATAACACTTGTCTATTATCACCATGTTTCAACCATTTAAGCCAACCAGCAACATATACAACTGTACATAAAATACGGGCCATACTTCTTTGTATTAGCCATAGCACCCAGCACACCGTGTTCCATACTTCTTTTGAATAAATGAATTCTGTAAGTGCTATTCTTACTATGTATGTAACCCCCATGAGGTTTATTAACTCTGAGGTAATGCAGGCTAAACCCTAGATGCCATGATTTAGTACAATGGGCAAAATTTGTTTTTTTGCATTAAAATATTGCCTACGACCACACTGGCAGTACGAGGTAGAACTATGATTCAAACCCAGATCCTGTAACACTTGTATTGGGTGTAAATGAACATTAAATCCTACACTACAGCTATCTTCAAGACTTAACAGAATCACAGGGACCTTAAAGATCACAAATCCCCACCTTTCATGGGTGAGGAAGTCAGAGCCTGGGCAGTGCCTTGCCTTAAGGTCAAATAGCTAGCAAAACTCAGACTGAAATTAAGGTCTTTTGATTCTGTGTCTGGTGCTTTTTTGTAAATACATTGGACAAATTCAACAAATTATGTGACTTGTGGAAACAATCAACTCTGAAATGACTAAGTCGTTTCCCTATAAATTAAGTAGAACACAGAATTATAAATAATGACATTAATAATTCATCTTAGCTGTAAACACTTTCACATTATCTTTTTTGTAACATTTGGTAAGAGAGTTATAGTTGCAAGGGACCTTAGAGGTGGCGAATAGTCTAATCTCCATTTTACAAAGGGAAATGACTACCTCAAGTTTATACAGTTAAAACAGCCGAACTGGGATTTGGACTCATTTCCACTGACAATAAATCCAGCACCCTTTTCAAGGAACAATCCTTTTTTTCCTTTGTGGGGAAATTCTACATCTATGTAGAGGAATACAGATCCAACTGCAAGTCAACATATTCTTTTAGATGTTATGGCAAATTTCCTACATGTTTGATGTGGTTGTCATTGGAACAGTTATTCATTCATTCATTTGTTCATTCATTCATCCATCCATTCATTCATACAAAAAACACTTAACTCAGTACTTTTTAAGTGCAATGATTCTCTAATAGCCATGATTTAGAGGTAGTCTTGGCTGTTGCCTTCTAATGTTTCATCTAGGGTAGATTCTAGTTTCACTTTAATGTACTTTTTAATGATCTTTCATCTTCCCCTTTCTTTGCCTTATTTCCCCCTACAATTTTAGGCCATATATATACTAGCTACATTTCTGTAAGAACCAAATTACAACAGAAATAAAAAATGATCCATCAACTATTGAAACAGTTTAATCACACTGGCATAAAATAGAGTTAAGTCTGTGTTTGCCTTAAAGTCCAACTTTTAGCCTTCAGAACTTGGCAATGCTGCTTACTATTCAGGAATAAGAGTGCTTTTTTAAAAAAAAAGTACTTTTAGAAAAAAAAAGTATAGTGAAACTACTGAATGCAATATAAAATTCTAAATAACAAAGATGAGACAACTCTTTGGTACTTTATGTTTCCAATGATAATTATTCAAGTTTTGGATCTTTATAGACTTGCCTCAGGAGTGAGCTAGAGCCAGTGGAATGTTTAATGGAGTTCTTCAAAGACAGTTTTTGAAAAGGGTAGAGGTATTTCCAAGAATCGAGAGTCATTGCTGATCCTATCATTCTGCAATACCTTAAGCATTTGGGATTTTGTCAGCATAGACAGTCCCCTTCAGCAATGCAGACTGTGAGCCCTTTATAACTTAAGAAATGGTCTTTGAGAAAATGAACACACTGAAACCAACTTGGTGGCAAACCTCTCCAAAGTCAAATAAGAAATATGTCCTTGGACATATAGTTCTTGGACATACAGCCTCATATTTGAAGACTGTCTGTGATCCACTGGCATGAGCCTATGAATCCTTAAATTATTTCCATGTAACAA